GGGGGGGGGGGGGTACTCCCAAATTCGGAGGACAGGAGAGCTGGGGAATTCTCTGTTCCCTGGGCCTGAAGTCATGGGTGAGACTTGCAGTGGCCAAAATGAGCGAAAGGGCACTTTAGACAGAGATAATCATGGGACAAATTGTGAAAGTGAGGACAGGGACCCAGGAAAGGAACCCATGGGCCATATTTGCAAGAACCTTGAACGCCAACCTGAGGGTTGGGGACTTTATTCCTGAGAGAGTGTGGAGCCTCTGTGTGCTCCAGAGCTGGGCGCCATGACCAGGGGTGGAATCCAGAATTACCAAGGAGCTGTGTGCAAGGGCCACGCTTGCTTCTCCCGCCTCCCAGACCTGTCTTGCTTCCAGCACCTGCTTTTGCCTCTTCTCCTTTGTCCACTGGTTCCTCTCTTTCTGAGTCAAGACATGGGTCTGGCAGACCAAGAGCAATAACCCTGAGACAGAGCACTGAGCAAAGGTGCTCTGAGGTAGTCACTGGCCTCTGATAGCGCCTGAACCTGGAATTCCAGGCTAGAAAACATAAAAAACAGCCAACAGAAGAAGCCAATCTGGGGAGCGTGGAAACATGGGCTGCTTGAAGACTGTGGAATTTGCTGGAGAAACTGGCAATGGAGAAGTTTTTGTTGATAGTCATGACCCATACGATTATTATGCAATTAAATTTTTTTATCATGATCCATTGATGCATTTATTTTTGGGACATTGTTTACTTGCTTAACTTTTACATGTGTCTTTCATTATAAAGCCTATTTTGAGTAGCTTTTAAAACTAAAAACTAGTTGGTTCTAAGCCCAGAGATAAGTTTCATTTTGAAGTACCCGATATGATGGTGACGGGGCTCAGAGCACTAACATGAAAAATGAAAAGCTATTTTAATATTAAAGTGATAAACTTTTAAGCAAATGCAGGTGTCTTTTACTCCTTAAAAAAAAAAAGAATGAATAGAATTTATCCACATTTATGGATATTTTTGGAAAGGAAACAGGAGAGCAATTTTGGTTTAAAACATTCTAAGCCTCATTCCGATCATTCTTTGTAAGGGCTGACTTGGAATGGATATGCATTAAGAAACATTTATTGACTAGATGCCACCTCATTCCAGAATGATCTAAAGCCACCTACAAAAATAGACAAAAGACGAGAAGAATACATTAGCAGCACAAAGCTAAAAAAGGAAAGAGCGAGGGTAATACAAAGCTGCGTGTACAGGAGCACACGTACCTGTGTTACACACTTATAGGACACATGTGTTTCCTTGTACCTGTCCATGCCAAGGGCGTGTCCAGATCATTTATCATGTGAATAACATTATTTATGGTGCGAAAGTTTCCATAAATTCTGAATATACGTTTTCTCTGCCACCCTGTGAAAATGATCATGGACATAACTTCACTTTAGATGTCAGCTATCTGTTGTTTTATACCTTCCTCTCTTTCGCCTTCGGTAGCTCCACTTTCTGTAAACGGCATCCCTACCCACACTGTCCCCAAAGCAGAACCTAAAGCCCATTCTAGAAGCCTTCCTTCCCTTCCCCACCAAATTCATTCAGCATAAAATCCTTATGTCCCTAGACCCTACGTGGACATTTCTGAATCACTGCACCTTTCTGCCCCCAATCCCGAGGTTTCATTCATACTCAGCATCCCTTCCCTGGACTAGTAAAAAACCTTTTGGCTGACCTTTGCCTTCAGCCACAGCCCTCCAGTCCACACCGCACATTAGGCTGGATCTGTCCTTCTAACGTGCTAATCTGGTCATGTCACACCACGGTTTGAAAGCCAGCAGGGGTCCTCCAGTGCCTACACGGAAAAAGGTGCCCAGAGCTTCTCCGGGCTTTTCCATGGAGCCCGGTTTCCATATCTGCTTCCCTGGCACGCGTCCCCCACTCCCCCTGAAGGCCCACCCTCCTGCACACGCTGCGCCTCTGGGCTTCTAACGCGTTGACTCCCGCCATACGTAACCCTCAGGCCTGATCTAGCAGGGCAGAGCGCCCAGTCTCCAAAATGACTGGCTCAGGTGACTCGATCGGAGCCGGGGAGACTTTGCTGGGACTTTTATAGAAGAGAGTCTCATTCTTTTCGACTGGACTTGAGCCTGTGAACCTCGGTCAGCCATCCTGCCATCACAAAGCATAGTGTCATCTGCGAATGGAGCCGTGGACAGGTGAGGCAAAGAAACAGAGATAAGGGAGGTGGGAGATAGGTCCTGGAGTCATCCTGTGAACCCTGATCTACACATGTCTGCAGCCATCTCTTCGTTTGGACTTTTCATTAAATGCCATTTTTACTTAAGCTTTTTTGAGGTGGGTGGGTATTCTGTCATTTGCAAAAAAAATGTTATCCTACCTAATACTAACACAAACACTGTTTAGCAAAGCACACTAGACCTTTTAGGATCTAGCCTCTGCGTATTTTTATAGTCACATCTCCAGAAGTCACCCACATGCAACCCACAGGCCAAGAGGCTGCCGAGAACTGCCGTCCCAGGCGCCCCCCTCGGCGCCTCGCACCCTCCCCGCGTGCCGCCTCCTTGGCTGCCTCACCAGCTCGCCTTCTAAGGATCAGCTCAAAGTTACTCCCAGCCCTGGCCAGTTTGGCTCAGTGGTTAGAGCATCAGCCTGTGGACTGAAGGGTCCGGGGTTCGATTCTGGCCAAGGGCACGTACCTGGGTTGCAGGCTTGATCCCCAGCCCCAGTTGGGGCACATGTGGGAGACAACTAATCAATGACACATCAATGTTTCTTTCTCTCTCTCTCTCCCTCTTCCAATCTCTCTGAAAAGCAATGGGAAAAAGGCCCTGGGTATGGATTAAAAAAAAAAAAAAGAGTTACTCCCTTTTCTCTTGCCCTGTGCCCCACAGGAATCGCAGGTGGCCTTGTGTGTCCCCTTGTCATCTGGGGTTTAGAACATAGTCACGGTAGCAACAGTGAACAGTTACCGAGTGCTATTCAAGTGTTTTATGTGTATTAGCTCAATTCGATCTTCCAAATATTCTCTCCATTTTACAAATGAGGAAATGGAGAGACAGAGAGGATAAGAAATGTCTTAAGTAAATAGTAAGTGGCACAGTGGACCCAGGGAGTCTGGCTCCAGAGCCCGTGTTCCCAACTATCATGCCGGGTCCTTACCCTATTTCACTCTCATTCCACAATAGTCCATCACTGTATTGTTATACATTTCTACATGTGTCCATCTGATGGAGACTTTGTTC